ATTAAGCTACTGCTATAATATAAGTTTCTATATAATTAGCTGCCTGCTATTACTATTACTATATTAGTTTTGCTATATTAGATTTTACTACCTATTACCGCGTTTACTACTTTCTATTCTACTGCTTTCCTATCTACTATTTTACTATATAGTCTACTTTTTTTTCTATTCTATTTTATACTATATATATATCTATTATAGGATAATATTTTAGGTAGAAAGGTATATAGTAAGGTAGAATAGTTCCTGTAAAAATATAGGTATATAGCCTATAGTATATACCTATAAAAGGTAATATACTGCTTTAGCTTTTAAGCTTTAGCTGCTATTCTATAGTAAGCTCTATTATTATTTACCTATTATCTATCTATTACTACTTCTAGTAGCTAGCTATATAGCTATACTACGCGCTTTTATAGGCGCCACTTTAATTAATTTTTCTTCTACCTATATATACTGCTTTTGCCTATATATACTATATATACTATACCTTTTTTTTTTTTTTTTTACTTAGGTACTTTATATATACTATATACTATACTGCTTTATACTACTATACTACCCTAGGTATAAAAAAGTAGATTAGTAAAATAAAAATTAAATAGCTTAAAATAGTATAGAACTAGTACCTTCGCGCTATTTTAAAAGGGGACTACTAATTGTACACCCTCTAATTCCTAGACGTATACCCCCTTTTTACTGTATATACACCTTCTCCTTTCTCTATCGCTTTACTACCTTTTAATTAGCTTAAAGGGCTGCTTTATAGCCTCCGATTCGCTTACTTAACTTGCTTACTAATTCCGAGTACTTTTTCTAAATCGGCTATATATAATATAACGCAAGTAATTATATTTTTATACTCTATCTCTATAATATACTTACTATAGCCCTTTAGCCGCTACTTCTATAGTTATATAACACGGTAAAAAAAGCTAAGAAAGCGCTAATAAAGTATATAAAGGCTTAAGGCTATAGCTTTATAAAGTTCCGATTAAAACCTAATAAAACACCGGCTAAGGAAATAAGAAAAATATAGTTTTAATACTACTTTAGTAGCAGTGCAGAAATTACTGCCTATATATATATAACCTTATCTAATAAAAGGGCTGTTAAATATATAGTATACTTACTTAATAACCTTTTAGCTATAATAATAGATATATATAGCTATAGAAGATAATAGAGGCAGCTTATAAAAACTATTTTTCTATACTTAAACTAATAGCAGTTATATATAATAGAAAGCGCTTAGTATTAATAAACCGCCTTATTTAAGCTAATATATCTAGTAGAATAAGGCCTATAGAAACGTATATAAAGCTGCTAAAAAAAGAAGTAACTATTACTATCTAAAATATTTAAAATAAGCGAACTTAGTACCGCAATAAGCTTCTTAGTAGCCTTACGCCTATCTAGGCTCTTTTTAATATACTAGAAACCCGAATATTTAATATAGGTAATAGCTAAGGGGAAAGGAAGTATATATATAACTATATAAAGGACTAGCAGAACTATATTAATTACCTCTTCTTTATATATCCGGATTTTATCGAGATCCTATAGTTTAACTACAATATTATACTAATAGACTACACGTATAAAACTAATAGATTTGGTATACCGTTTTTATATATAACTAGCGTTATATATATAAGTAATAACTTCGATATTACCTATTATTTTATACTAAAAAAAAGGAAGTAAACTATAACTAGGTAGTATAGCAGCTTTTTAAGCTTTTTTAATACTATTCTATTACACCACGCGTTTTCCTAATAGATAAGGAATAAGCTCTAAAAAACGCGCTACGTTAATAATAGTTAGATATTCCGCGCCTTTTATGCGTATAGTATATTAAAAAAAATATTAATACTAAGCTAGCTAAGGTATATAAGAATAAACCGATATTTCCTATAGGCTATACTAATGCGCCGATAGAGAATAATATAGAAGAATAGAAGGCAGCTAAGGAAAAAAAGTAGTAAAAGAAAAAGAGTGAATTTATTACCCGTTAGACCGCTATAATAAAGCTGGAACTTTTTAATTAATTTAATAAGGCCTGGAATAAGCTGCTTAATAACTATAAGAAGAGGCCTAGCCTTATAGAGTATATAAAGGAAAAGTAGTGGCTGTATAGGTGGAAATAGGCAACTTACTATACTTAAACAGCTTAGTATTTTAGAACTATATAAGTATCTGCTTATATTCTATTTCTTAATTAATATTTAAGCTCTATTTTTGCCCTCTTCAGCGCTAGTTGTCCTATATGCCAGCAAACCCCTTATGAAATTTGGGCTTCGAATTCGCACGTTTTAGTGTTAAGATTTGGGTTAAGCAGATGCAAATCTAGGTGTATAATGCTAACCGAGTTTCTTACAGCGTTATATTACGGAACGAGGGCGCGCACGGCCCGCTTAAGGGCTTCCTCTAGGTGTCAACTGGCCATCTATTTAATATACTCCTTAATATCCAGAACCTTATCCTTATTACTAAATCCAAATACGAGGATTATAAGGCGAAGTGGCATGCTAGAACTCCTTATAATGTGAGAGAGGCTGAATTCCGTGATCTATTCTGTACGGTTACACCGCAAGTATTGGCCATCCTTAAGAAGCAACTTAAGAAGGCAAAATCGAATGAATACAACCCGAACAACTGTACTTATACGTTCACAAATATATACGGCATGCCGTGCGCTCACAAGCTACACAATTGTCTACATCGGGCGCTTGCAAATTATCTAGATCCCGTGCTCTATATACAACCAGATGAGATAGATTACTACTGGTGGTTTGCTCGGCCAGGCATACAACAACCGGCTATTCCTTTTGGACCTTTTGAGGATGTACTTGATCCTGCCGTTGTTGAGCGTCGACGT